TTATTTATAATTATTATAAGTAATTTAATTAAAACATTTTTTATATCTTTTGTGGTTTAGATATTCACTTAAAAAGAAGGAAAGTGATTTTTTTTTCAAGACAGAGTTTTATTTTCTTAACGTCCGATTGAGCAAGTTATAAACAAATACGTGTCTCTTATTTTTATCTATATTTTAACATATTCGAAGCTTATTACAACTGGAAAAAGATATTTATTTATGTTTTCTTGTCAGTAACATATTTGAAAAATCTGAGATATTGGAGTATCTTTACATCTTTTCTCGGACATATTACCTTTATATTATGCAATCATTACTTTGAACATATTTTAAGGGAACACTTCAGCATTTTCTATTAGCATTTACGCTTATTACTACAAAGAATACGAGCCTGGAGATTTTAACTGCGTGAACGTGAACTTTTCGTTAAGATGGAAACTGAAGTCCCATCGATATCGCGCACGCAATAGAAATAATATAATAATAAAAAAATGATTAAAAGCATTGAGATAGTTGAACCGTTTTTGTACAATAAATGTGATTAAACGCAATCTGATCATCTATATAACAAATAGTTTCGTTAGGAATCATTGAATAGAGAATCATCCAATGCCCAAAACATACTTATCAAATATTAAAAATAGATAACAAGAGCCAAGAATGATTGAATAGAGTGGATAGTATACAATTAGCGAAAGAAAAGGCATTGTTTTGTATACATTAATCGATACATACAGAATTATTGTATATAGCGCTAATTATACGAAAAAAAAGATAAATAAATCATTCCAGTTAGAGGACATAAATAATTCACTCCGGAATATGATGGAACGATACGAGGGCACGTAAAGTGTTTTTTCACCGATATGTGTAGCTAACATTTAATTAAAGGGAAAGAACACTGTTGGCGCTACGCTTATTCGTACATCGAAAAAATATTAGAGATGCACATTTAAAAGTGCTCTTCTAAACTTATTTTGCACTTGTACTAAAGTTTCAAGAAATTCATGTCGCACTACTGTTCTTTGTCTACGAACGACAAATAACAAGACTGACAAGAAGGATATGCTCGCGATTTTTGGATCCGTGCGAGATACAAATACTTTCTTCTTTACACCAATATGCCGAAAAAGATTAATATGACACGTCAAATTTCCAAGCTCTCGCGTGTCCAACAATTTCTTATGTTCATCTGTGATTATCCTGACTGATCTGATCAGCACGTATTTGATCCATCGATTTGCTTTGATTGCTCAAGTCTGATAAAGATTCGCTGTCGCTGTTCGGATTTACGCGAACTGGTGATGGACTATCCACAGGCCGAAAAGAGAAACTAGGTGAATCCGCGCTCGATAACGACTCGGGTGTGCCCACGGAACTGATAGTTCCAGGGAGGGGACTGGACAGAGCATCCAATCTGTGAAGACAATATTGAATTAAAGAAACTATATTATAGGAGCACACATATATTGGCTTTACTTTTTATTGTTGCAGTGAAATAAGTGTAAATTTGTTTTACTTCAACTTATTGCATCGTATATATTATTTCGGAGAATGCAGGAACAAAAAACAGATTTTTGGTCATTTTTTTTATATTAAAAAAAATACTTGGATAATTTGATCATATTTAAGTCTAATATATGTATACAGAAAATTGTAAAAATATACGCAACCTGGATGCAACTGACGTCAATAAACCAGAAATACGTTTTGCAGGTGGTTGTAAACTGTGATCCATTCCAGCTTCGTCTAATTCGAATTTTCTTTTGACTGGTCCTAAACAGCTTGGCCTTATCGCGATAGGACTTAAACTGCGCCTGTGTTTCATAAAATATTAGCAAAAAATAATAAATTAATTTATTAATTATTAACTAGGAATAAAATAACATAAATTGCAATAACTATTTTTCCTTTTTAAGTATAATCGTACATAAATTTTCTGCAACAACTTCTCAAACGAGATAAATTTATGTTCTAAACAAGATTTACCTCGTAGCAAATGCCTTTCTCGTAGGACTAGGAGACAAATTATTCTTCCAGATGTGAATTCCAGGAGAGTAACACTGTCTTTGATTAAATCCAGATCTTGTGGGGGAAGGTGAAGAACACAATGGTGAGCCGGTGATAGACAGATTTAAACTTAAAGGATCCAATGGCCTCTTTGATCGTTCTACTTTGTTAAGCTGCTGCGTGGGAGACTCTGAATCCTTGAATGATAATCCTTCCGCCTCCAAAGTGAGATCCTCCCATGATTGCGATATCTGCATGGCACTATGAATTTCCTTCTCGTGTGCTGCCTCTCGGCCAGCGACATCCACGCATTCTTCTTGTCTTAACTGACTCACACGTGGTGTCAATCTAGGAGCATTACCAGGGCTCTAAAAGTAAAAAAAGTAAATAAATTAAACAAATGAAAAGAAGCCGACATTGGTCGTTCTTGCGTAATAAATTATATTTAAAAAACGATCTTATAAGATATTTCGATTCCTCCCTAATTTGGATTCTCTTTGATACAGAAATATAATAAACGTTATAAAATTAAGAATATTAAGTGCTTTTTCACTGACAAGTGTTGTTAAGCTATTGCCTATATATAAAAAGTCATCAAATATACCATGTCTTTAATATTTGACGGAATACTTAAACGGTAAGTTGAATATTAAACTAAAATATTAGAAACAGTAAATTATTGTAGTCAAAATATAAGATTAATCTTAACTTATATATTAATAAAGCAATAGCAAGATAATAATGCGAACATATTTTGATTTGTGCGCATTATTGTCTTGCCATTGTTTTGTGAATATTTAAATCAGGATTTAATCTTCTATTTGGACTACAATAATTTATTGTTTCTAATATTTTAGTTTAATATTCAATTTACTGTTTAAGTATTCTGCTAAATACTAAAGACGTTGTACATTTGATAACTTTTGATATATGGACAACAGCTTAAAAATGCCTATCAGCATAAAATCAATGTAAAAGCGCTTTATACTCTAATTTTGTAACGTTTATTATATTTCTGTACCAAAGAGAACCCAAATTAGGAGTCAAAACGTCTTGTAATTTTGATATTTAAATATAATTTATTACACGAGAACAACCAGTTTCGGCTCACTTGCCAACACTGATTTTCATTTGGTTAATTTCATTTATTTCATTGGAGCTCTTATACAGTTTTTGATTAAAAAAAAAGTCGAATAAAAATAAAAGACAGTGGAAGTTTTCCAATAAGCGACACTGTGTAACATATAATAGTTATCAAGATTGACATACAACAAGAATGTAATTATTCACTGTATTACACAGTGTCTCTTGTTGGAAAGCTTCCAGTATTAGTCAAATAAGCTGATCAAAGAGTATAACATTACAAAATAAAATGTTACATTTCTTCTAACTTACTGTAAATTTAATTTTTTATTTATTTATAAAAAAAATAAAATGTTACATTTTAAATTTTGCTACTAGAGTAATAGAGAAACTTAGATGATATTTAATCAATACTGAGCTGAGTAATACAAAGTAAGAGAGTAAATAAATAACATGATCTTACACTGGTACTAAAACGTCGTAGACGAGTTGAATTTGCAAATATATTATAGGTTGACACAGCATCCCTGCAAGTGACAAAATAAGAAATATTTAAAAACAATTAAGCATAGTTGCAAATATTATTAGAAAATGTTTTTAAAAATGTTTAATAAACTTATTAACAAAAGTTCTCTCAATGACTTTAAAAGAATTCAGAATTCAAATTTACTTCATTACTTTACAAATATTACATAAACCATACATATGCAATGTAAATTAAAAATTAATTAAAATTAGCAATAATATGTTAAACTGACCACTATACGAAGAACACAAATAAGTAAAAAAGCGCCAAACAAAGATCGAGGTTGAATCTTGATGTTTAATATTAGGAGTATAAATAAGTTTCTGTCGTTTGACAAAAGATGGCGCCACCAGTATGTTATGGTTAAAATTGTCTGCTGTAAAACGTCATATCGTAAGGTTGGACATCTGGCAACAACATAACTTTGAAATATTAGCACTTTTGTATCAGCATCATATATCTTTTTTCGTGTGAAGATGTCGAGTTTTGAGCCGAATAAGCATCATTTGCGGGAGCTTCTTTAATTTGAAGAAATCTGCAGCTGAGGCGCATCGATTGCTTGTAGAAGCATATGGTAAGGCTGCCTTAAGTGAGAGAAGTTGCCGTGAATGGTTTCAAAAGTTTAAGAACGGTGAATTTGACGTCGAAGACAAAGAACGTAGCAGAAGGCCGAAAGTGTACGAAGACGCGGAATTGGAAGCATTATTGGATGAAGATTCATGCCAAACGCAAGAAGCACTTGCACTTACATTAGGAGTGACTCAACCAGCAATTTCACATCGCTTAAAATCATTGGGAATGATTCAAAAGCAAGGAAATTGAGTTCCATATGAACTGAAGCCGAGAAACATTGAACGATTTTTCACATGTGAAATGCTGCTTGCCAGGCATAAACGAAAGGGTTTTTTGCATCGTATAGTCGCTAGTGATGAAGAATGGATCCACTACGATAACCCAAAGAAAAAGAAATCATGGGGACCACCTGGCCATGCTTCAACATCGACAGCCAAGCCGAACATTCATGGAAAAAAGCTCATGTTGTGTATTTGGTGGTATCAGCTTGGTGTCATATATTATGAGTTGCTCAAACCGAACGAAACTATTACTGAGGCTATCTACCGAACACAATTGATGAGATTGAGTCGAGTACTCAAGGAAAAACGCGTCCACTACTACTCCAGACTAAATATAGGTCTTTACTCCAGACACGATAAAATTATTCTTCTGCATGATAATACTCGTCCACATGTTGTGGCGCCGGTCAAAACCTACTTGGAAACACTCAATTGGGAATTTTTACCCCACCCGTCGTATTCGCCAGACATTGCTCCTTCTGATTACTACTTGTTTCGATCGATGGCGCATGACCTGTCTGAGCAACACTTCACATCATATGAAGATACCAAAAATTGGGTCGATTCGTGGATAGCTTCAAAAGATGACCAGTTTTTTCGACGTGGAATCCACCGAATCCACCAATTACCAGAAAGATGGGAAAAAGTAGTGGCTAGCGATGGACAATACTTCGAATAAAACATTAGGTACTGTTCTTTCACAATAAATGTCCAATTTTTGATTTAAAAAATGGTGGAAACTTATTTATACTCCTAATAACACTTTTTTTACATAATTTAAAAAAAATATATCTTTAATTACATAAACGGTGTGCCGATTACTGTTGGATTTGGAACGCAATCATAAAATGGAGCTAATAATATCACAAATTAAATTCGTCAATTTAATAATAATAATGCTAATAAACATCTTAAAACACTTATTAGGAAAAAGAATTTATTAGGAAAAATATTACTTCTCTCTCAGTCAGGTTTCGAATCTCTATCTATAAGTGTTTTCTAGCAAGTACGCAGTGCAACACAGTGGATCATTATTACATCCTTGTTTGCCAACGTTGAACAAGGATGAAATAATTCACTGTGTTATACATTATCGTTCTTGTTGGAAATCATCCTATAACAGGCGAGCACCTTTTCCAATTGAGTCAGTGAAATATTTATTTCAGACTTTATTTAAAGAACAAAAACTGCAAATAGGTTCGATTTAGACCACTCTCCCCTATTAATAAAATTCCTTATGTATTTATTATACGCATATACTTTTATATACATACGCATTAAAATTATATATAAGTTATGTAATAAATTACATTTATGCGAAATAGACATTGTGTGGCTCGTAAGAGTTTAATGCACTGTAATTTCTCACAACTATAATCATATATCTAAACCATGAAGTAAGAGTAAGGAGACTTAACTGTGTAGACTGAAGGTGGTCACGAAAAATGTTCCGTGTACTGCCATGTCCGCCGAACGGAATAACTTGCAACATTTCATCGCCATGTTGAATATTTATATGTGTGCAGTATACTTGCGACTGTGTACACGTATGTGTACACATATACATAATATATATCGGATCGGGATGACAGATATGTTAACCTGTAAAGTCTCGAACTTTAACGCTTAATAACTCGGTTCACAAGGCCGATCCCCGCATTTTTCTTATAGATTCTTTCGTTCTGAGTGAAAACGCGACGAATGAGTATAATTTTATACGTTTAAGACACGTATTTGTCTTCTAAAAGGTAAAGTATAGCTTGCTCTCCTAAAATCTTAATAAAATTATACTCATTCGTCGCGTTTTCACTCAGAACGAAAGAATCTATAAGAAAAATGCGGGGATCGGCCTTGTGAACCGAGTTATTAAGCGTTAAAGTTCGAGACTTTACAGGTTAACATATCTGTCATCCCGATTCGATATATATTATGTATATGTGTACACATACGTGTACACAGTCGCAAGTATACTGCACACATATAAATATTCAACATGGCGATGAAATGTTGCAAGTTATTCCGTTCGGCGGACATGGCAGTACACGGAACATTTTTCGTGACCACCTTCAGTCTACACAGTTAAGTCTCCTTACTCTTACTTCATGAAACACCCGCGGTAACACGGATATTTGTCTTTATGTGCGCGGATACTTGGACCATAGTTGTGGGACTTGTAGCATCGGAGATGTATATCAATTGTCCATATCGATAATTGGCTAATTTAAAATAATATGATCTCAGACTGCATTGACATGCAGCGTAACTTGCGTTAGTCAATCACATCATCTCAACCAGAATAACGCATAGTAGCTGTTACTACTAGATTGTTACTGTCTGAACTAGTGCAGGAATAAAAAATAGACCTAATTTGATATGGATTTGCATATTTTTGTTTACATAAATTACGTGCATGTAAAAGCAGCCTTATCGGTAAAGCAGTTCAAAATTACTAGGAACCGACTGATGTGAGTAATGTGTGCAAGTGCGCTCCTGTGACATAGGACCACAGTTTAACCATATACAGTTACGACAGTTATGGAAATTTTTTGTGGACGAGTTTCATGGGTTGCACTGAATAGTGCAAGTTCAAAAGAACACGCCAAGATTTTCAGTGCAAAAGCTGAAGTGCTATTTCTAGTTGTAAGTGTAAGGACTTGACTAGGACTACAGTATAAAAATGTGACTAGACAAAGTATGAAAATGTGACCGCAGTGCATGCTCGCATCGCAGTGTTACGTGATAGATTTCCTAACCTAAATAGTCATGAACTTTAACGATTGGGGAGTCGTGTGGCTCCATGCGATAAACGGTTGACTCATGATCTGTGGATCCGGGTTCGAATCCGTCTACTCCCCATATACGTGATTTTTTCACGGTTAATGTGTAAGAGTATATAAGAAATAGAGATAGTTGATAAAAAGAATAAGAGTTATTAAAGTGAAATAGTGAATTGATAAGAGTAAAAAGAAATGAGTGTAAATAGATATGAATGTATATAGTATATTAGGAATTTAAGAATAATAGGATTTGATTACGAGTTGATTACTCGAACTGGATTTTCGTTGCGTCATATTGCCTAAGGATTAAGGGCTGAAGACGTGACTGCCGTTCGGATTCGGCGTTAAACTGTAGGTCCAACTAAAAAAAAAACTTTAACGATTAATATCTTGGTTCGCGGGGCAGAGCGACGCTTTTTCGCGCAGATTTGCTTGTCCCCATGATATCATGCTTGGCTGCGTTCAGAACATAGATATTTATATAACACTAGATCGCTAACTGGGCTCTAGTACATGATTCCGAAAAGTATGTACTAAACAATGTTTTGGAATCAATTTTTATGCACGGTACATAGGGGAGTTAGCGATCTAGTGTTATATAAATATCTATGGTTCAGAATCATCATCTGAGTGCACCCCTTGTCCCTAATATATACCCTTATACTGAGAGGTGTCGTGTTATCCTTGTTTATCGTTCGTGAACAACAAGGATAAAACAACATCTGGGTGCATCCGGACGACGATTCTGAACGCACCTCTTGTCCCTAATATATATCCTTATATTGTGACAAAATGATGCACTGATATCAACTGATATCCTATAGGTGTACAACTTTGCTTCCGCCATTTTCCTATAGATGGCTTTAGCGGTAAGTGGTGGTCGAAATAAATAGATCATAAGACGTCATACAATAAACTTGGGCATCTGTCAACATAATCCCATAGAAACATTAGTCGATTTGTGTCTGCATCATAAAGTTATTCTCGATTGAAAATGACAGTTTACGAGCCGAATTCTCGTCATTTGCGGGAGGTTTTAATTTTCTGTTTCAATATGAAGAAATCTGCGGCTGAGGCTCATCAAATGTTCTCAAATACTTATGGTGAGGCTGCTATTAGTGAAAGAACGTGTCGTGAGTGGTTTCAACGCTCCAAGAACGATGATTTTGACGTCGAAGACTGGCGATGGAAGAGAAGTTTTCGAAGATGCAGAATTGGAGGCATTACTTAATCAAGACTCGTGTCAAAATCAAGAAGAATTGGCACGATCATTGGGAGTGACTCAACAAGCCATTTCAAAATGCCTCAAAGCGATGGGAATGATTCAGAAGCAAGGAAATTGGGTGTCGTACGAGTTGAAGCTGAGAGTGTTGAACGGCGTTTGTTTGCTTGTGAACAGCTGCTTGAAAGGCAAAGACGGAAGGGATCTCTGCATTATGACTGAGGACGAAAAATGGGTTCATTACGATAACCCCAAGCGTAGAAAATCATGGGGAGTTCCTGGCTATGCTTCCACATCGACGGCCAAACCGAATATTCACGGCTCCAAGGTCATGCTCTGTATTTGGTGGGACCAGCTCGGCGTAGTGTATTATGAGCTGTTAAAACCGACTGAAACAATCACAGGCGATCGGTATCGAACGCAATTCATGCGTTTGAGCCGAGCATTGAAAGACAAACGACCGCAATACAACGAGAGACACGATAAAGTGATTTTGCAGCATGATAATGCTTGACCCCGTGTTGCGAAAGTGGTCAAGACATACTTGGAAACGTTGAAATGGGAAGTCCTATCCCATCCGCCGTATTCTCCAGACGTTGCTTCCTCCGACTATCACTTGTTTCGATCAATGGCACACGGCCTGGCTGACCAGCACTTCCGGTCTTATGAAGAAGTAAAAAATTTGATCGATTCGTGGATCGCCTCAAAAGATGACCAGTTTTTTCGACGCGGGGTTCGTACGCTGCCTGAAAGATGGAAGAAAGTAGTGGCCATACTTGGGCAATACTTTGAATCATAAATGTATATAACCAGCTTTTTACAATAAAGCCTCAAATTTCGGAAAAAAACGGCGGAAGGAAAGTTATACACCAATATATCTAGTGCACTGAACTGACACCGTCAAAATATTTCGTACCACTTAGTGCGCACTACGCGAGTATCGTGCGGTCAGATGAACACGTGACACTAGTCAAGTGCGCATTGGCACTGTCAATCGAAGATGCTATAAGATAATCTGAATGCAGTGGTACAGTACGCACAAGCTGAATGTACGGCACTGAAAAGGTTCGTACTCAGTGCGCACTAGTGCAGTCTGCCGAATTCGCTATTAGAAAATATTAAGCCCGTGTCACACTACGGATTGTGGACGCGGATCGGATTGAGATTGCGAATCGCGCATCGGAATTCACAGCCAATCAAGACAAAGCAGCTTTATCTTGATAATAATGTTGTATCAAAGTACAATTTATAAAATGGTCCGTTGTTAGACAATGTTATGAAAGTCAAATTTTAGTTGTTACTCTTAAAAGTTTAAAAATGATATATATGATATTATTATTTATTATATTATAAAAAAAACTAAAAAAATATTATTTATTTATTATTTTCCAAAATTTATCCTTTTTAGAGATTATCATATCAGATATTTTATTTTCTATCACACGTCTTTATAATGAGTTACTAAATCTATTAAAATAATTCTCAGCCTCTGAAAAATTTACGTTTACGTTGTTTATTACTTATGTCTTCTACGTTATTTTTAATTTAAAAAAATAATTGTTATTGAAAATAATTAAAATATTAACGATAATTTAAGTTTTTAATGTGGTTTAGTATTATAATAAACAAAGGAATTAAAAATGAGCATATACCACGACGATGGATAGATTTAGCGAAATTTGCGTTTCAAGACCGACGATAGTTCAGCGCGTAAGTTAAAAAGGGGGATGGAAGTAATACATACATTACTATGGATAAAATATTGCGAAGAATATTACTACGTCGACCCGCCATCAAAGGTCTATAGATATTCGCAAATTCTCGCAAGTATTTTAATTCGCGTATATCGCTTTATATAGAATCTCGATTGAATAACTCTTGCAGGCGTATAAGGTAGACTTCCACTACAATGTCTTACTGATGAGTCCAGTAGTAGAAGCTGGGACGAAACGCCATATTTAAGTAATATTTTTCGCAATATATTAAATTAATTTTCCTTCGTTTACTGATGATGGTCATATTAAAGGCCGAATCGTTTACTAATAATAATAAAAATTTCGTTTTAATATTCTACGAAATACATTATATTTTCGCTAAATCTATCCAGCGTCTTCTCGTGGTATATGCTCATTTTCAATTCCTTTGTTAATTAAAATATTATTTTTAAGTATTCACATAACACGATGCTGCATGTTACCATATTGTTAGAACCAATATTGGACCAATCAACGACTGAGATTTAATAATTTCTTTAAGTTACACATAGGTTATAAGTTTAATTAAACATGCAACGTAACGTTGGTAGAAACCAATCAGCCTCAAATCTAGGTTTAATTTTAACGAGAGTTTTGCTAAATCGGAGATTAACCCCCGTATTCATAGTCAGACCTTATACTTAAGGCTTCCTTAAATTTATCTTTAGTTACTCAGTAGCCAATAAAATAATTCGTAGATCATCTGAAGATAAATTTAAGGAAGCTTAAGTATAAGGTCTGACTATGAATACGGAGGTAAGACAAAAATGGTAGAAACGGGCATTAAAACGAAAAAAAGATGAAGAGTTTGTTGAACTGAGATTAAAATTAAATCACATTTTGATAGAAACGAGCATTTCTGTATTGTCATGGTATGATAATATGGTTAAATAATGTATAATAATTTGTTTTATATATATTTCTACGTATAAAAGAGGATTTCTGTTATATTTATACTTCCTCAAAATAAGATTAAGAACATTGCTTATGTGCACAGTCTCACAGTCATTTTTTTAAATAATTTCCAACTTTTATAAAGTTTAATGAAAGAGCTTCCAATAGAACATTTTGAAAGAAATGCATATTTATATGTACAAATATAATAGAAATATTAAGTGCTTTTCGGCAATATACACAGGTTACATTGTGTAACACAGTGTATGATTCCATGCTTTTCAACTAAGCCACACGTCGATACACAAACGTACACAGTTAAAATATTTTGTGTTGTTACTTTATATCACTTTACAAATACCAAATTTTTACATTTCATTACCATTTATTTTTCTAGAAGTATTACTCCGATAAGAAGTTTTAAAATTATATTCCGATATAGTCAGACATAGGTGTATAAAATTTTTTTTTTTTATTTTACTCTAGTAAAATAGAAAGAGTAACATTTCGGCTATACTTAATGTACGATAGTACGTATCAAACAATGTACTGTTACTGTAAAGCATATATTTATGTGTATTAATACAACATGCGGCAGTTTCACTATATACCAAAGAAAATATATTGAACAAAAAAAAATTTGATTGTTCAACATCTGCATTCAATAGCTAGGCAACACCTATGTTAATCCATGCAACGCTGTTGATTTTACAAGATCACTAATAGCTGGAGCGGGTAATACTTCAATTATCTGCTCCTATAGAAACTGCAAGTAACTACTTGGTAATAAAAATCATTGTTAACAGCGTTTAGTTGCAATCTTATAGCGTGTTTGACCTGACTGGATTTGCATCAACCTGGGTTGGATTTAATGCTCCATTATTGGTTAATGTTACACATTCTATCAATAAGAGGACACAAAATGTCATTAAGGAATTGTTCCATCTTTTGGTAAAATTTACCCGTTAGGTAAGTAGCAAGATTACCCAATCACGTGCGCGAATTGCCAGGTTTAACAGGTAAATCTCACCGAAAGATGGAACAATCGGCCACAAACCAGGCCAGGTTGATGCAAACTCAGTCGTGATGAACACGCTATAAGACTGCAACTACAGCAGATTTTTCGCTAGGTCCTGCTACAGACCACGATTGCATTTCACATTTTATCCTGGGCCTGGAGTAACTCAGGATACAAGCGGGTCACATTCCGCAATATATATATATATATATATATTGTGCATAAAGGGGAAGGAAGTAGTCATTAACGTACCTTGACGACGATGTTGACGGTGTAGTAACGGACATGGTCGCGCTGATCTCATTAATCATCGGCGCGCTGCTGGATCGCTTCAGACTAACGATCGGACAGTCAACGTCCATGATTGTCGGGGTGACACGCGGCGGCAGTCCCAGGTGTCTCAAAACGTAATCGCGCGACGTCCGCGCGGAGATAGCACATAGGAGAACCTGTGGGCGTCCGAGATTATCCGAGAATACCGTCTCCGTCGCCGTCGCCGTCGCCCACCGTCCCCGACGTTTTCAGATCCGTCACGCAGGCTTCCGCGAGGTCCTCCGCACGAATCTCACGATCCCGGGTACACACGTCGTCTTCGCCGGCTGTCGCGACCGACGCGAACATCAGGGATGTCCACCCCACCAACGAGGAAGCCACGCGAGTTTATAGGTGATCAACGAATCCTTCTCGAGATAATTAACGCACCCACATTTCCCTGGGGATGAGCGAATACTCAGGACGACGAGCACGGTGATGGAACGGAAAAAAAAAAAAAGGGGGAGTTTCTGGTACAAAGCGCAAGTTATCCAAACGAATCGAACGAACTTCGTGACCTTAATGCTGTTGTGCAGCTAGTGCCAGCTAGTGCTACTGCTGCTGCCGTCAATATCACAAGTTCATAAGCTGGGGTACTGTTGTGCTTGTGCAGTGTACGTGCGCGACATGCGACGACACGACGTTATCGATCACTTCCACTTTAGTATCGTGCACACGAATGCGATAAGGTTCGCGATCCGCAGGCCTTAAGTCCTGTGTCCACGAATTCGAGCCGAGAATTCTAATAACCAATCAACTTGCTGTTTTTGCATAAAAACTACAATTTAATTGTTAATTAGCTATATACACATTCCTGGACGCAAGAACTCGGATCTATGACTTGTCAAGCTCTCTATATAGTACCCGTGAACTGCCGTGAACAACTGTTCAGTTATAGCAAAGTGAATTTTTTTTTTATTCAATGTACCCATGCGCATTCACAGAAGGCTATGTTCAAATTCCCACCCGAGTGCCACTCAGGTATCCTTCTATCCTTATTGTTTGCCAAATGTTAAACAAGGATGACATGACACCCAGGGAGCACTCGGGTGGGAATCTGAACACGCCGGAACATGAAGAAAGTATATGCTCGTATAATAGAAACCCTCTAATTAGAGTCGCGAAATAACGTTTCCAATTTTAATTTATCGTCGATATTTTTCAGCAAAAGTCGGAAATAGTCATGTTTAAAATTTAAATTCGAAAGCATGGTATTTCAAATAAAAGATACACTTTTTATAGAAAATAAACTTTATGGTCCGTATTCAGAACGCGTTTTTTTGATAAAAGCGCGCTTTTATCTCTGAAATTCTATAATATGCACAACGTAAACTATAGCATGTTAGAGAGGTAACATCGTTGTAAGCGCGTTCTGAATACGGACCATAAAGTTTATTTTCTATAAAAAGTGTATCTCTCTATTTATTAATTTATTTATATTTATTTAATAATACTATACATAGTCACAGTTTGCTATCAAAATAACGTTTTCTTTTGTTCTTATGTTTCTTACACGCTGTCTTATACTTCAAAACAGCAAACCTTGTAAAAATGGTCACGTTCAGCAGACTCAACAGTTTTACAACTATTTTATAATTCTTCGCTTAGGATAGGTAATACTAAAGGCCATCACACGTACAAAAATTTTAGTAGTATCGTAAGGTCTTAAGCAAATCGGCCAATCACAGTTTAGCGTATTAAAATGTGAGATCGTAATCTTAATTGTGATTGGTTGATTTGCTTAAGATCTTACGATTACTACTAAAATTTTCGTACGCGTGATGGCCTTTAAGGCGCAGATACAATAGATTCGTAACCTTAACGTAACCGTGACGTAAGAAATCGACCTCGTATAGTCTACAATGGCTGCCTGTAACCGTAACGTAACGTTAACTTAACGAATCGTAAGGAGTCGTTTGTAATGGGCCTTCTACAATAAGCCATAAGTCATAAATCGGAAGTAAGAAACTAAAAATTGACGACTGTGATTGGTCCATTTCTAGCTTATGACTTATGATTTGTGACTTACGGCTTATTGTAGAAGGCCCATAACGGTTGGAAAACTATTGAGTCTGCAAAACGCAGCCATTGCGCAATTCCGCAGCCTCATGTGGCTCCGCCCTGACTCTTTTGCGCATCCGCGAAAACGGTTTTTCCTGTATTTTTCTATCGAGTTCCGCTCTATCTTCTTCTAAAGCTAATCACCTAATTACTTTCTGTAGTAACCGCTCCTCTAATTTATCTTTTACTCCGAATGACATTTTCCCTCTCCTTAAAAAAACCACCCCCCCAAGCTTTGTCACTTGCTTCTTGCTTTTATCAAATCCAATGAATTAAAAATTTAAACTGGGCTCGTTTTTTGCGTGCCCTTCGTTAATTTTGATATACCGCGGGCTTTATCCCCCTCCACTTACATGGTGGCCATATTGGTTTCGTTCTATCCAATCGTCTTTTTGCAGTGCAACACATGTAGCATAACCATAATATTTTTATTTGTGTATACTTTATTCTATTCTATCTAGGTGGAGTTTCTGAACGTCAATTTTAATTGATGTGCTTTTAAACTGGTCCAGATATAAAATATTGTGTTAAAAATGACGCTTGTCCTACGGCAACTATATCAATTCTATACGAAACAAAGAATGTGTACACCAATAAGCCATCTGATTAAGCTATCTAATCACAAAATTCATACATCTAAAGGTTGGTTGTATTATACTGTTAGAATAAACAATTATTTACTGCTGTTGTTATTTAGAAGTCAAATCTGTTGGAAAAAATAATTATACAAGTCAGCTTTTGCAACTCAAAAATCAATAAAATTAGGCTTATTCAATGCGTTTTTATATGAAACAAAAGAATCTGTTTAAAAAAAACGGGGCATTGTTTTGCTCTATGAACCGAGATATTGAGCTGATTCTACAATGAGTCGGTAGTCGAAAATTTTATTTAACCAGTTAGTTGTAACCTAAATAGGTAACTATGATTTTTGATGCATTTACAAGTTAATTATACAGAAAATCGTTTAGCTCGACTAATGGGAAGGAATAAAGTCGAATTTGATCAGTCTTAAGAAAATCAGTGTGTGCTGGCTGATTCTTCTTCTTTTTCTAAATTTAATTGGCCTTCATTAATGAGATAAGCATGGCCAGAGTGTTAGTTGATTCATTGTTAAGACTTAGGACTACCATCTATGAACTCGTAGAATCAGCAAATAATCTTCAGCTTAATAATCAAATAACTGAGACCTCTAACAAAAAAGTTTCAGAGCCTTAAAGTACCTCTGTGAAGTTGGCACCTCATTTTTCAAAAAATAAAATTTGTCACAGTTTCGAATACACCCTGTTGAATTCTAGAGTTTCTGCCCAAAATAAAGAATAGTTCTGGCAAATTAACACAAAAAATCGAATATTAAAAATTTGGGGTGCCAACTTCATAAAACACAACAAAAAATCGCGATATCTTCTAAACTACTAGTCCTAGCTTTAAATGGTAATAACTTTTGATAGAATTCTTGGGGTGCTATTCAGAATTGTCAACAGAACTGCTGTAACGTTCAAAAATTTTTTGCCTTTATATGTGAAAGAATCAGATATTAAAGAAACAGCCATATCTTTTAAACCCTTAGTTCTAGCACTTTGAGCATTAAGGACTTTCGTTAGAACTCGTGAGATGTTACCCATAATTGCCGACAGAATTGTCGTAACTTTAAAAAAATGTTTACCCCTCAAGTGTTAGAAATTTTATAACCCTATATGAGCGTTCAATGGAACGCATTTCATATTTGTTGTAAATCTACTATCACTGATATTTTTCTTATTAGATAGTATATTATATGTACATACAAACTTGTTGACTTGTGCATTAAATGAATCAAATTTAAAAAATCTTGTTTTCCAGTTATATTTCATGGTGAATACGAAATGCAGGATCCTAAAACTGAGGCTGATATGTAGGTAAAATAAATGTATTTTTGTTTTCATGTAAGATTTATAAAATAAATAATTGTTTTTAAACTGTGAAATATTTGTATGAAACGTATCTTTTTAACACGAAAAATAAAATAGGTATAATTTTTGAAGTTATTTGTATGCATTATGCAAGATTTTAAAAGAAATTAAATAAATTTGTTTGAAATTTTTAATAAATATTTTATTTATATTAATGGATATAGCTCTGATCAGCTTGACCTTGACATATCAGCTTGACATATCTTGTTAAAGTTATGATCTTGATCAAACCATTTCCTTATTAAAATAACAATTAAAAATTTGACAGATCTAGTGCTTTTGACAAAGTTTATAATTTAAATTGTTATTGTTAAAATTTTGGAGTAAGCACAGTGATCAATCCAATTAGCTATTTCTATTTAAAAGTTTAACAAAAAATAGTTGAATTTAATCAAATACGAGATTACCGATTATTAATTATAAAACGACAATTAATATTAGTAATATGAAACATGTAGACATTAAGTTAAGTTAATGATTCTATAACGTTGATTAGTAAAAATTACTTTATTATGGATGTTTTTCCAGAGTTAACGTCACTTTTATTGACAAAACAGGCAAGAAAGTTAAAGTAAAAGGAAAAGTAGGAGATAATGTGCTCTATTTGGCTCATAGATATGAAATTGATATTGAAGGTGCATGTGAAGCCAGTTTGGCATGTACAACTTGTCATGTATATGTACACCATGATTTTGTGGATAAACTTTCAATTCCAGATGAAAAAGAAGAGGATCTTTTGGATTTAGCGCCTTTCTTGAAGGAAAATTCTAGACTAGGTACATATATATATATATATATATATATCATTTTTTATTACTTATCTTTAAACTAATTGCAAGATAAAAGGGTATTCCAAAGATAAACTTCCGTATCATAAGACAAAATTGGTTATATGAGTAACTTGTGCATTGTAAGATTTCTCTGTAGAATATGTAATATTTTTGTACTCAGAATTGCCTTCATTGCAGTCATTAGGTCCGATTTTTATTCCTGAACTAGACTGCATTCTAGAACTCTCTTTCTCGCTTTCGATAAACGATATGAAACATATACTTATTTTACTATATGTTTCAAAAGTGTACACTAATTCAGCCAAAGAAAACAGACCTATACCTATTTTTCGTTTATCTTTAGAATACTAATTTTTATGCAGCAAGTTTTGTCTTTATAACAGAAAGCTAAATACGCAAAGCGACATCGAAAACTTATCGGATCTATCTTTCCATCCTGTGTCTCTTAATCCCCACTTAAGATTTATATGTTTACCACTTTCAATCACACATTCCAATTAACAATTTATGCTTCGTTTTTCATTGTTATGTAGGTTGCTCCGAAAGTTTCCGCAAAATCGTGTATAAATGTATAATTAATTTATAAAATTGGCTTTATTGTTTCTCAAAGTATTCTTCAATACAATGAATACATTTTTCCATTCGATAAAACCAATCGTCAATGTATTTTGACCATCTTTCTAGAGGCACCTCGTATATCAGATTTTTGAATGCCTGGACCGCCGCATCTATTTAACTTCAAATCACGCAATTTTGTCCTTAATATATGAAAATAGAAAGAAATAACAAGATGTCAGATCAGATCTATCAGGTGGATGAATCAGATAAATGTGGGAATATGATCACTCGACAATAATAAACTGTACTATTATTAAATATACTATTATTAAAACTTTGATAGAATATTAAAAATAACAAGTTTATACATCATAATAAAAACTTCAATTTCATCTCTCTATAAGAATGTCATTTTTAACGAACTTCAACCTCTAATAATCTAGTCATGCATCGAGTGAATCCAGTACCTTCAACATGTTACGACAGAGCCGCTACAGTGACACAACGTCTAATGCCCCATCTTGCAGAAACTTTCAGAGCACGTACCCACTTATTTTAATTAATATTAAATGACAAACTATTTAATATCTCGCTATGTACATGTATCGTAAGATAGACCAGTTCAGAGATTGAGGTAAAAAAGTTTTGATTTTGCATATATTTTAATTATAACAAAATTACTACTTTAATTACTTAATAATTATATCCTTGTTACAGTACTTATATGTAGGAACACACATTGTTTTACATTCCTATAATTAATACTATAGTTTTAGAGCCATACATCTTGTAGAGTTGGACGATTTGACGACCACAGGAAATTAGCATTAATATATATTTAAACATGAAATTTATGTAATGTACAAAAAGAACTATTGTTCACTCGACTTTTTATTATTTATGTAATTTAGTTTTTAATTGCCTGATCAAGATTTATATATATTATTGTAAGATTTATTTATTATTTATTTTAAAATTTTAACATAGATGACGACCAGGTAGAAAAGGTCGAAACACTTGTTTTTATAATATTAATAAATTTTAAATATGAACTTAACAAATTACATTCAGCGCGGCTCTGAGATTTGTAATTTTGAAGAAATGAGTTTTTTTTTTGTTAAATTTTGTTCTATTTTCTTTTATTGATAAATGATAAAATAAATAAATATAGAAAAAAAACTTGTAGACAATATTTTATTAAAAAAATATTCTATATCAGGATGTTCTTTATATATTGTCACAACTTCATCATTTCTAAATTTACGAATCTAAATACTAAATTTACCTAATTTTACAAGCACGAATAAATAAATATGAATAACTTTTGTTTATATATGATTTTTTCTAGGTTGTCAAATAATTTTGAAGAAGGAATTAGATGGCATAGAGCTAGAATTACCTAAGGCAACTAGAAATTTTTATGTGGATGGACATACCCCCACTTCACATTAAAAAATTGCCTTTTTAAAGTGAATTGAATTAAATATGTAAATATTTGTAAGTAATATCATAAAATATATTTTGTAATAAACAGTATTATTTAAATGTGTGTGATCTTTCTCTTGGGCATTGTCAGATTCGATAAAAATAACAAACACCACGTAATTTTCTTGTATAAAGCACAACCAAATATATTTATTATTTCTTTCTTATACCTAATGTTACGTCCTTTAGAGCCACGTAACGCGATATTAATGAGCAATATAATTAAATATCATATTTGTTATTTAATTTATTAACTGTTTACTATACGAATTGACCCAGATTGAGGTTCTACTCAATAGAATTATTATATCCGCGACATAACATACAAAATTTATATTAATAAAATATATAAATAACAAAAATGTTAGTCAGATATATGCACTCCATATTCAAACGTACGTGACCTTTTAGTAATATAAATTAAGAAAATAAAAATTTGCGAAACAAGAAACTAAAAATTTCGTGGTTACAATAATTTTACGAAAGATTTGGCTAAGCTATTTGTTTATATTTCGTCGAGTTATCTCAAATTATAAAAAAAAATTATTTTGTAGATGAAGACATAAAGGATAGGCAAAGATCAAATCTATTTTTTTTAATGGAATATGTTTTTATTTTCCATTATTGACCTTGTATAACCTTGAATGACCTTCAATTATAGGTCACTGTATTCGTCATAAATGCTCTATCAAAATGTAAATAAAAAAACATTTCATTTAAAAAACGCAGATTTGACCTTTGCCTATCCTTTATGTCTCCACCTACAAAACAATCGTTGACATCACATTAGGCTTGTTCTTTTTGCCTGCACTGTCTACACCAGTTCAGACAGTGCAATAAGTTGAAGTGAAACAAACGTATATCTGTTTCACTTCAACTTATCGCACTGTGGGCACAGTGCAGAGAAAAAGAACAGGCCTATTATGTGCTCCTCGAAACCAAACAACTTTTGTTTGATACTTTTCCTTCTATTGTTAAAAACAAGCCAGTTATTCAGATGACCTGTTTTAAATACCTCACTCTGTATAAGCTCACTCACACGCATACAAAATTGTAAACTTTATTAATATCTCATAAACTATAAACTATCATGTTTTAAAATCATTTTTGCTTATTACAGATTAATAGGAGACGCGTATATAATTAATAAAATTTATTAAAATTTTTTTTATGTTATCTAGACCAGGGTTCAGTACGTGATGCAACTTTCGGTCGAAAGTTTCCAGAGATCCGGTTAGCTCCGTATATCTGCGACGTATCCTGCGGTTTAAGGTTCTCAGCATAGGATTGCCGTAACATATTAAGACTTTTAGGATTATTAACAAGATTATTTTTGACTTGCTTACAAACAATTAGATTATAATTATTTAACTTTGCTTATATAGCACGTGGTAGCACGCTATCAAGAGATATAGCGATGTCTATTAATTCAATGTCACACGCCAAAGCGTGTGCGTTACTTACGTCTATAACTTAAGTCTGTCTTAATGTGTCACGGCAATTCTGTGCTCAGATCCTGACTTAGGGTCTGAGCACAAGCACTGCCGTAACATTTTACGACATACTTAAGTTATAGACGTAAATAACGCACAAGCTTTGGCGTATCGGCGTATGACGTGTTTATGTATGTACATTATTGCCATATCTTTCGATAGCGTGCATATACACGTCATACGTTGATACGCCAAAGCTTGTGAGTTATTTACGTCTATAACTTAAGTGTGTCGTAAAATGTTACGGCAGTGCTTGTGCTCAGACCCTTAAGCTCCACGTCACTACCAACACCCTCGTCACCAGATACCAAGCCTACTTATCTCCTGCATTGTTCCACTGAGCTCTGTGCTGCTTACTCTTACATATCAGTCAAATACTTTAATCTCCTCTTCTTATATCAATAAAAATTTTTATTGATATAAAAATGTTTTATGACAGCTGTGACAGATTTCCTAACCTCAATAGTTGTCAAATTTAACGCTTAATATCTCGGTTTGCGGAGCAGGGCAACGCTTATTTCTGCCAGATTCTTTTGTTTTATGGAAAAACACGTTGAATGATTTAATCGATTTTTGAGACGATTACTCTCCACTGCACCTTACCCCCGGATCAAAAATTAAAGATGTTGCAAGAAAATATGGTATCTCGTTAAGTTGTGTCAAAAGCTTTTTTACTAAAGTAAGAAATCTTTTGTTAGAGAGAGTCACATCTTAACAAAGTAAATAGTTATCAAAACATTTCTCTCAGTGAGTGCTACATATGTGCTACTTACAGTCCTGCTTTGGGGCGGAGCTAAGATAACCTTTTTATTGTGTCACATTTGGTCCCGAGCGTGTGATTATAAAGAGGTCCTACTGTATGTAAAACGTTACATAATTTCGTTTAAAAAAGTGGAGGTGATCTTTGTATCTCTTTGGTCTCTCCATCTAGACAAAAAACAACGTGACTAAAACACATTCCCCTCGAAACCGTTTTCATCTGAGACGTTTTTTTCGCATCATCAAGAACAAGTGAGTTACAGCAGGACCTCTTTATAGTCACAAGCTCAAGATCAAATATTAAAATATAAAGGTTATCTTAGCTCCGCCCCAAAGCAGGACCGTAAGTAGCCTTCTTAAACACATATGTAGCACTCACTGAGAGAAATGTTTTGATAACTATTTATTTTGTTGAGATGTGACTAACAAAAGATTTTTTACTTTAATAAAAAAGCTTTTGATACACAACTTGACGAGATACTATATTTTCTTGCCACATCTTTAATTTTTGATCCGGAAGTAATCTCTTTAATTATCTGTTGCTTATTATTATACACTTCCTCTTTTAATTCATGTTTACACTCAAAAATAATTAGGCAACTAACAATTATGCAAAATAATTAATAAGTAAGTGGAAGACTATCCCCAAAGGTTACAATATTGAGCACCAAAAATACGAACCTGAGTGCGTCTCAGTCACAGATGTCTATACTGTGGTCTCAGTAAACAACTACGCATTGTTTACTGCGCAAGCAGTTGTCATAGAAAACGCGTCACGTGGGTTACAAACGTGTGCTTATGACTGTGGACTACTTGGGAGGTTGTGATATTATAAAGAGGTGGACTATAAAGAGGTTCTACTGTATTTATCTACTGTAACTTGTTTTTAAATGCCTCATCCTGTATATACAGGAGACGCGGTAGTATCTGCTGCCATGTTAAAAAAAACTACTACTTAATTTAAATTAAAAGATTAATAAGACACTACAAGTCTCTTATCCCGAGCCACCAAAGTCCATTTTTGGGGGGTTTATAAAATTTCACTCTCTTTCGTTATATATATTTAAAAAAATTTTTTTTTTATATATTTGTGATATATCTGTACTCTAAAAAGTAAGTGATATCCTAAAAAAATCATATAAAAAATAAAAAGGTCAAGCCATGCTAAAAAAAAAATCCTCAAAAATTTAAACTTTTTTATCTAATAATATTATTTAACCATGAAAAGTAACTGATATATTATTAATTGAAGGTGCCAGTTCAAAGTGAACATACATAAAGGCTGCATTCCCATTCATTTGCTAGAATATATAGGATGAAGAGGATCAGAATGTCGTCGGCCGAAGAATATTTTTAAACGTGAAGTTATACAAATGTTTGTTATAACCGTCGTTAGAATATTTGAAAACAACGTTAATACTTATTGATACATTTTGTCAATTGAAATATTTACTTATCAATACAATAATCTTTACTAGCAATAATGTTTTAACCTCGGCTTTAACTGTTCAAACTATTAGGCTAATTCTACAATGTTCTTTTTATTTCCTGTTTGTCTCTGGTCTTTTTGATCAAGAGAGGGCAAGAGACAAACAGTAAGAAACAGGAAACAAAAAACACATTGTAGGATTAGCCTGAACATTTTTAGGTTATTACGCATGTGAAACTGCACGTATGTACGACGTCACTAGCTAGTATCCAGTCTTGAACGATTCTCCAGTACGGTATTCAGGAAATGGCGGCCACTGGATACTGTAGTGAAACAAAATAAATAGGAACGCAGCCAAGGCTATGTTCAGATTCCCACCCGAGTGCCACTCAGGTATCCTTCTATCCTTATTGTTTGCCAAATGTTAAACAAGAATGACATGACACCCAGGGAGCACTCGGATGGGAATCTGAACATACCGCAAAGTGTATGCAATTGTCGGCCGATCATCGTGCGGCATTTGGACTGCGCGCGGGACGGTGAGGTGAGGGGGACAGCGGAAAGCGGAGGTGATTCGAAAATCGGCCAAAAATTGCATACACTTTATGTATATTTACTTTGAATTGGCACCTTTAATTAATAATCAGTTACTTTTCATGGTAATGTATTATTATTAGATAAAAAGGTTTAAATTTTTGAGGATCTTTTTTTGAACATGGCTTGACTTTTTCATTTTTATATGATTTTTTTTAGGTATACATATACACAAATATGAAAAAATTAAAAACTTAAAATAGACATTAAGATGCTCATTTCTTTGTAAAATATAAAAAATAAAAATTTCGTAATTACATTGACAATTATATTAACATAATCTATATGTATATATATATATATATATCGTATATTATCTGTATATATGTATACGCATGCAATATGTCTACACGTATATGTATTTATTTTGCTTCAAAAAGGTTACATTAAATAATATTTATGATATTTTATATTACATTTGCATATTTAATTCTTCAATTTTACCATTAATTTTTTTATTATTTACTAATACGCAACTATTATATAAAAAAAATAATGTAAAATAACAAATCATGTAAAAAAGAAATAATTTTTTGAATAAATAATTTTGAAAAAATATGATAATTAAATTAACGGAATATTAACTAAAATTAACTAAATTAACGAATTGTAATAATTTTGAAAAAAATATGATAACTAAATTAACGGAACAATACAATTACAGTTATAAGAAATTTATAAATCAAAAGGCT